AGAGCTGTTATTTAGACAAAAATGTCATTCTGTTGTTTACAAATGATGCAAGACTACAATAATTGTAAGGAATTTCAGTCATTTAATGTTAACTTATGAATTAATTTTGTTTAAAAGACGGTTCATACACTTTTTTCATCTCATTTCACTATCAATATTTTCAGGTATGGTGGTCATGTTGTTACTGGTTGTTAAGGCCCATCCCATAGGACTGCCAGATACCCTGCCAGCCACCATAGTGGCCTTCGGAACTGCGTGGTCTGGCAGTCCGTTGGCCTGAACATCGATAACCCATGAACTCCTTAATTTCTGATTTACTTTCATCTGCATCTCATGTAATATATATTTAATTATTTATTGAATGTGAAAACATGTAAACTTTACTCATTTAAATTTTTTTATATAGCATTTGTCATATGTATGAATTAAAAATTCATTATTGCCAACTGCACATGTATGTTTTCAAAAAAAAAACATTCATCACAGCATTCCATAATATTTCATTTCTTACATAGCATTCCAAAACATTTCATTGATTACATAGCATTCCATAACATTTCATTGATTACATAGCATTCCATAACATTTCATCCATTACATAGCATTCTTTTACATAGCAAAATGAACATGGCTGAGCATTTCATCCGATAATACAGGCCACACAATTTCAAAACCTAAAAGAGTTCACTACTTTTACATAACTAACAAAAACCATGGACGTATTTCATACTGGGAATGCAACAGTGTTTTCAAGCCATGTTTAGCCAACCAAAACTCATCCCCACACACATTTTTTCATTGAAATACTTCTGGTTCAGGGTTATGATCCGACCTGATCTTCTAGGTATTTCATGACCTGCATCTATCCATTCTTGACATTCATTGCATAAGTATCTACCAGTATACCTTTTTTTGTTTAGAGGATTCATACAGTAAAAGTGATTTAAATTTTTACACCGAAAGCATGGCACCAACCAAAAGAGTCCAGGCATCCTCCCACATGCGTGACATTTTGGAGAATCATTTGTCCTTGACCCGCATCTCATCTTAAATGGCAAAGTTAAACTTTGTTATTTAATCTATATTCATTATTTAAAGTATGAACCACTTTGCATTTTATGAAAGTTCATTATATTCATAACCAACCATTTTCATTGTACATATTTCATTTTTTTCGTCTATGCTTAATTGAATACATATCATAGTTCGAAAAATACCTTTGCTTGGTGGGATAAGAACAGTCGTCGTCACACTTTATACTCAAAACTCTCCGTTGGACTTTGAAGTTGTATGGTGTTGTTGAGCTCAGTAAATGACTTTCTGAGCAAGAAGTTAATGCAAGTGAAGTGGTATATATGCTTACAGATTGGTATATTGGTTATAGGCCATTGGTCAGTACTTTGGTAATTAATTATGATATGAAGTTCACTTGATGCTTTGTATGCTCATTTAATGAGCAGACCTACATTGTCTATTCTCATTTAATGAGCAGACCTATGCAAAATTCTCCTTTGAGATATTGCTGATATCTGCATTTAATGCTAGCCGACCTACACGCCTACTACTGTGTACTTAAATTTATGAGTACACCAGTTCGTATAAATAACTGTTTTACGAAATCTTTAATTTGAGTACTCTTACAATTCATTAATGACCTTGAGCCACACACTCTAAAACACTGTCAGTTGATAGCTGCATTAATTGCCAGCAGCTCTTCAGTACAATTGTGCTGGTAAGTTCATTCATGACTTTCCTATGTACCTACTTTGAAATTTATTATTAATTTAATGTATATATACACAATTAAATAAGTAACTATAGATATTTTTCGGAACTATACATATTCTTTTTGGGCCTTTTACGAAATCTTTAAGCATTTACACAAATTTTCTAAGAAATTCAGAAAAACATTCATTCAGATATTTTTCTTTACTTTTCAGTGACGGCCTTTGGGAACCTAGGTTATTGAAAGCCAAAATACCTGGGCTACCTTATTCTGGCCAAAATACATATGCTCAAATTCTCAAGTGCAACCATGTACTTCTCAAATTTTTTTATCCACTTAATGTCATATATGTCTCTAAATACTGTATCCCTCATAAAATTGATTTTTAAATTGATATTTCATATTACATAGTTAGTCTAAGCATGTATTTTATAAACATTAGTCAATTCCGCAACAACTTTTCATATATTTTACCCAAATTACATGGTTTCAACTTCGAACTGGTGAAGTGTCTTTTAAAATTTTGACACTTCAATCTAATTTGAGCAGATATTATTTAAACATCTATATATATAAATATATAGACATCAGTTTGTTTTTAGAATACATACACATATAACAAACTACATATATATAATTAATTTTTTTTAAGTATGCCTATATTTATGTCAAGAAAACCTGTACTTCTTTGATTTTCTAAAAACATTTATTGTTATATATATCTGAATATTGCCGATCCATTATAAAAGAATATTTTAATTTAATTTTTCATTTTACAAACATAATTTCAGTACTTTAATTTTTTAACTAAAAATAAACATTCTCTGGTTTATACGAATTGCTTATTGCTTATATTCAATCTTGAAACAATTTATAATAAAAGATTTTGCAAAATACTTGGGTTTTTTGGAGTAAAGATAAACTTTAACAGATAAGTTGACATTTAAACTGCTTTTTAACCTGTTTTGATCAATAGTTAAGAAACTTTTTTTTAAATGTGTAAGATAACATCTAAGTCATTAGTTAATTAAAATCTTTGTGATCTTATTCCCTAACTTATGCTGTTTTCAGGTATTGCACAATTCTCTCTGTTCGATTTTGAAATTGTATGTTGTTGTTGAGCTCAGTAAATTTCATTCTGAGCAAGGAGTTAATGCAAGTGAAGTGGTATATATGCTTACAGATTGGAATATTGGTTATAGGCCATTGGTAAGTACTTTTTTAATTAATTATGAAGTTCACTTGATGCTTTGTATGCTCATTTAATGAGCAGACCTACATTGTCTATTCTCATTTAATGAGCAGACCTATGCAAAATTCTCCTTTGAGATATTGCTGATATCTGCATTTAATGCTAGCTGACCTACACGCCTACTACTATGTACTTAAATTTATGAGTACACCAGTTCGTATAAATAACTGTTTTACCAAATCTTTAATTTCAGTACTCTTACAATTCATTAATGCCCTTGAGCCACACACTAAAACACTGTCAGTTGATAGCTGCATTAATTGCCAGCAGCTCTTCAGTCCAGTTGTGCTGGTAAGTTCATCCATGACTTCCCTATGTACTACTGTATCCCTCATAAAAGTTATTTTTAAATTGATTTTTCATATTACATAGTTACTTTAAGCATGTATTTTATAAACATTAGCCAATTGCGCAACAATTTTTCATATATTTTACCCAAATTACATGGTTTCAACTTCGAACTGGTGAAGTGTCTTTTAAAATTTTGACACTTCAATCTAATTTGGGCAGATATTATTTAAACATCCATATATATAAATATATAGACATCAGTTTGTTTTTAGAATACATACACATATAACAAACTACATATATATAATTAATTTTTTTAAGTATGCCTATATTCACTGCTTTTGAAAAATGTACTTATTTCATTTTCTAAAAACATTTATTGTTATATAAATATCTGAATATTGCTGATCCATTATAAAAGAATCTTTTAATTTCATGGTTCGTTTTACAAACTTAATTTCAGTACTTGAATTTTTGAATTGAAAATAAACATTCTCTGGTTTATACGAATTGCTTGTTGCTTATATTCAATCTTGAAACAATTTATAATAAAAGATTTTGCAAAATACTTGGTTTTTTGGAGTAAAGTTAAACTTTAAAAGATAAGATGACATTTTAACTGCTTTTTAACCTGTTTTGATCAATAATTCAGAAACTTTTTTTTAAATGAGTAAGATAAAATCTAAGTCATCAGTTACATAAAATCTTTGTGTCTTATTCACTAACTTATGCTGTTTGCAGGTATTGCACAATTCTTCATTAATGTGGATGTTTTGCCTTAGTTTTCTGACTTAGAAGGTCCATTGTCCTTGACCTTAGCCTCATCCTTATGTACTCCCATGACCTGAATGAAATTCATATGACCTGGAGAATATAAACATTGAAGTATTATTTTTTAAATCTATTCTCACAAACTGTTGAAGTGTTGCCGGTGTCCTGCAAAATAAACATATGAAATCATCATATCGATAATACATTTTTTCAACAGTTTGTACTTAGTTCCCATAGGAGAAATATAGTGTCATGCTTAGTTTGTCCACACTGCCAAAAGTAAGACACAATCATGCCCAACTATGTGTTTTAGGCTACAACCCAACACCACAAAACAAAATATAAGTCCAAGGATGCCTCAGTACAAAACATAAGTCCCGACCAACAGACTGGCCCTTGTTCTTCAGAGTGGTTCTTCTTTAATTTTTATCTTCAGCTTCTTCACAACACCACTTGTAGAGAATTCATCTATCAGATTCCTTTTGAGTTGTCCATCCATTTCCACCTCCACCACCTTCTGCGTACCCAGTGGGGGTGAGTCTGGTAGGTCAATTGCCTCGACAACCTTTTTAAAAAAAAATGTAAGCATATCTCTTTAATATATAACCCTACTTAGACAAATGTATAAGAGTAATACAGTCTGTACCTCTTGTTTTTGAACATCTTTCCCTTTTTTCCTCGCTGTAGAACTTTCACCATTGTGCAGACTTGACCCAATCTAAATGTAAGGTATTGGTCATTATTTTCTATTATACGAAACATATACTTTTACTATGAAGCACCAAAAAGTAAATCTTCTATAAACTCCAAAACCATTGAAAATACCTTCTCACTTGGAGTGTCATGCACTGATTCTTGTTCCTTATCCGCTCCATACAATGCCAGAACCTTAGGGTCTCTTATCATGGTCACCATAGTAAATGACTTTGTTTTCTTGTAAGTATTCTCCTCACTTTTTGTCTTCAGTTGTATTTTAAACAGGGCCTTTTGGTCAACCAAGCTTTCTATGTCTTCTGGAAATCGAGTTTGGTCTTCAGTCTTCTGTTTTATTCAAACCATTTGCATTAGGCATAAAGTTTTTTAATTTTGATAATTTCACATATAAATTGAAATCAAGTTTTTGCCTTCTCCATCTCAGCCATCAGAAAAGCAGATGTTTTTCCAAAAACTTCAATACATTCCCTGTCCCACAGAATGAAGGTTGAATGACCAGTCTGGTCCATGATGCAAATGCTGACTTTGTACCTAAAATGAATGCAAAATATTTTTCGTGAGACTCAATTCACAAAAATCATAGCTACATACCATAGCAATTCTCTTACCGATACACCCCATCTGCCATTGTGACATGGCAATTGGTACACATGAACCTATCATCCTCTGGTTTTAGTTTTTTGTAGCATGTGGGACAGCCAAGGTAACACCATTCTCTATAGTTTTCAAGAGACACAATGTCTCCGATGATCCAGTAAACCCCATCCTGTTTGTAAACACAATATTTGACATAAGCGTTGAAAATGTCCTAACATAAAAGAATAGGTCATCTTGTACACACCTCTGTAGCCATAACCAATTCCTGAATAGTCGTTATGACAGCTTGACCCGCAAGGACATCTTCCCGGCTCCCATCAGCGTGGGAAGATTGTGAGACGACTGTGGCTGTGACGCTGTCATCACCATCTACAGGAAATCTGTAATATAGCGCAGAGTTCATTATGAGTATAGTTTTTATAAGCCTTCAATACCCTGCCTGCTTTTCAAAAAATTCTTACTCGCTTTGAAATTCAATAAACTCGCTTGAGTTCCCATTGATTATCAGTTTCGACACATCAAATGAAGATGATACTGATAGGGTGCCTGTCATGAGTAATTAGTTTTTTAGCATCATACTGTTTTCGCCTGATGGCAGGAGTCATAAACATCCCTACAAAAGAGATTACCTTGGTATCTCTTTGGCCTGCATAGCTGAAAAATTACATACACAGGCATGCCCACATTTTCGGTCACATACTCCATATACTGGTCTATGTACTTGTTCCACAATACACATCCGAGTCGGTTCCCTCTGCAATTTATAAAAGTTATTTAATAATAAATATTATTCATGCTCCATAACAATTTCTCTCTTATGTCGAGATTGTATAAAATGTTTAAACAAAACTCACTCAGGGTCTCCTAATGTCAACTCCATCATCCTCTCAGCCCTTCCACTTATGATATGGTTTTGAACGCCGCTCTTACATATGACTTTGCCTATGACATCTATTACCAAATTCCAGCATAAGATATTTATTTCAGTAAATTAAATTGTAAAAGTTTTGGGTTGTCCTCACCAATCAATTTTTTGTCGTTGACGACGCGTTGAGCCTGCAGCATGTCAAATGGCTGAAAGTCGTACACCATAATTGGCAACTCTGTCCTAGTGTCTTCGGTGAACTGAGTTTTGCTGATGAATTGAATCAAATAAGGATGGTCACTTGTTTTGACGGTTTGGTAGTTGTCCAGGACCAAAAACGTCCTCAGAGTGTAAGTTTTGTTTTCCTTGATCATGGTCTTGTAAACCTCCACTTGTGGCCTCTTTATTATAGCGTGAATGCGGTCTCCCTAAATACCAAATGTGGGCAGTGTGAATATAATAATAATATAATAATAATAGTAATAATATTATTATGATAATATAGTATTATATGTTTTTGATATCAAAATATGTTTTTGATATCAAAATGAAAATTCTGTGAATATGTTTTTCTACCAGCTCATCATGCAACACCATCTCGAGTGTTGCCCCCCCTTTTGAGTGAGGTGGGACTTCGTATGCTCTGACCACCCGCACCCTTAAGGCCCAAGTGGTCTTGGTATGATCAACATCCTTGATCAGGGACCACATGCCTCTTTGTGTTGAGGAACCTGTCATAGCTCACAAATAACTTAGGAAACTTGAAAATACAGAGAATGTAAAAGAGATCAGCTTGGTTGTGGTGTGGTTTCTGACCTCTTCAATGGGTATTTATATTGGGAAATAGAGGAAGTGGTGTAGAGCAAATTGTGTTATTGTGTAATAACCATTGGTCAAGGCACATTTAAAACGTTTAAATGTTTGTTGCAACAAACGTTAGACCGTATCTTCGAATTTACCAATGTGTTATTGTGTTATTGTGTTAAAACGTATTGGTCGCCTCCCACGGTGCTAGGAGCGTTGCAACAAACGTTAGACCGTATCTTCGAATGATAGATTTTTCGGACGACATTCGTGTCCGCAGGTCGCCCGCGCACACAAGTCGCGGTTTTTCTTCTCCGTTTCAGGATTTGATTGGCACCCCCTGCGCGTAAGAGAGAGTCTTTACCTTTAGGAATCTTAACTCCTTAAAAGAGGCTTCCCTTTATAAGGGGGTGAAAATCCCTTGAGTTTTCCGGTGTGGGATAAAACACACTAGAAACGCATCATTTTCCCAATTTTTCCATTTCAACGAGTGAACTTCGAGAATCAATTTATCATTCACCCGTTATCCGTTTTGAGCGTACCATATATCGAATTGTAGCCCTTAACAAGGACAATCCGAAACCACTTTGACCCGGTCCAAATCGGAAGTGGACCCCACTCAAATAATTGCCCCAAAATGATCATTTAATGCAATTTTAACACATTTTTCCACTCGAATTGTAGCATAGTTCTGCAAGAGTTTCTAAAGAACTGAGCCTTTACAGTTCTCCTTTGAAGCGGCCCTCATCTCTCTCACATAGGTGATTCTTTCACAAGTATCCTGCATACTCTACCAATGTCATCGAGTAGATCAACATTTTAGAATCATTAAAGAAAACGTTTTTGCTAACCTCGTGCGGGAGTCACTGTTTTAAACGAGGATTGGGTAGGAGTCCAGGACCCCCACAGTGACCATCCTTCGCTCTATAATTTAGTTGTCCCTTTTGAACCTAGGACCAACTAGGTTGGGTATCCACTATAGAACTTTTCAATTCACGGGCTTTAGTCCCATTCCTCGTGACAACTTCTCCAACAATTCTCGATCCAATGCCTTGGTTAGCGGATCCGCTATGTTATCCTTTGACTTCACGTAGTCAACAGTGATAACACCCGTTATGAAGAGTTGTTTAATGGTCTTATGTCTACGACGAACGTGTCTAGACTTACCATTGCACATGTTGCTCTGTACCCTTCCAATTCCCGCTTGACAATCGCAATGTATGCATATTGGAGGGACAGACTTTTCCCAACTTGGAATATCCTCGAGAAAATGGCGTAGCCATTCAGCCTCTTCAGTGCACTTATCCAAGGCTATTAGCTTAGACTCCATCGTGGATCTAGCTATTAACGTTTGTTTTGAGGATTTCCATGACACGGCTGCACCTCCCAAAGTGAAAACATATCCACTTGTGGACTTGGAGTCCATTATGTCGGATATCCAACTAGCGTCGCTATACCCTTCAAGTACAACTGGATATCTTCCATAGTGCAGTCCAAGGTTTTGGGTTTTATGTAAATACCTCAAAACCCTTACTATTGCCTTCCAGTGTTCATCACCGGGGTTGCTAGTATATGTACTTAGCTTACTAACCACAAAGGCAATATCAGGCCTGGTACAACTCATTAGATACATCAAGCTTCCAATAATCCTAGCGTATTCTACTTGAGAAATACACTCTCCATGATTTTTGGTAAGTTGTACGTTTTTATCTAATGGAGTTCATGCCTCTTGATAATCATCCTTATTAAATTTCGTAAGGATTTTATCAACATAATGAGACTGGCTTAGCGTAAGACCGTCAGGTCCCCTAATTATTTTAATCCCAAGGATTAAATCGACCAACCCCATATCCTTCATGTCAAATTTAGAATTTAACACGGTGGGGGAAAGAAGAACCCTTTGGGAGCATATTACCGACTTGGGGTCAACCATTGTTAGTCCTTGGCTAGTAATGGGGGATTTCAATTGTGTGTGCTCCCCTAATGAAAGGATTGGTCCCACCCCACCCTCGGCATACCTAATGCAGGACCTTATTGACCTTAAGCTTAATGCAAACTTGGTGGACACCCCCTCTACCGGGGAGTTCTTTACTTGGTATAGGGGTTCACTTTGGGCAAAGTTGGATAGGGTTTTGATGAATTCGGCTTGGAGTGCTTATGGCATCACATGTAAGACTCATTTCCATTCCATGGAGGCTGAGTTTGACCATGTTGCCCCTTTGGTTACTTTCGGCCATAACCCATCCTTTGGGTCAAAACCTTTCAAATTTTTCAATATGTGGCTTAAGCATGAATCTTTCCCTTCTATTCTTCATGACATTTGGTTTAAGTTTGTGATGGGTAATGCTCAATTCAGATTGGTTAAAAAACTTCAAGCTCTTAAGAAACCACTCAAGGAACTTAATAAGGTTGCATTTGGACATATTTCTTCTAAGGTAAAGGAATCGAAAAGTGAGTTTAAGAGGGTGCATAACCTTCTCTTAACCTCTCCTCTCGATGATACCTTAAAGAATGATGTTCAACTTGCTAAGAAGAGAGTGCTCTTTCTTAAAAAGGCCGAGGATGCTTTCTTTAGGCAAAAAGCGAAGGCCACTCATTTGTTTCAAGGTGATAGGTGTACCAAATATTTCCATTCAATTGTAAAAAAGAGGGCTGCTAAGAACTCCATTACGGCTTTAAAACTACCTAATGGGGAGCTTACTACCTCTATAGATCAAGTTGCTAAGGAACTTGAAAGTTTTTATGTTAAGCTGTTTGGAACTCCGGTAAGTTGTCCTCCAATTGACCCTAGCATTATTACATCCGGGACATGTCTAAGTAGGGACCAGTCCTTAGGGCTGCTCTCTCCCATCTTAGACATAGAGATTAAGAATGCCTTGTTTGACATTGGGGATGACAAGGCCCCGGGACCAGATGGATTTACTTCTGCCTTTTTCAAGGAAAAATGGTCGGTGGTTGGGGATGATGTCATTGATGCTGTGAGAGGTTTCTTTGATTCTGGTAGGATTTTAAAGCAAATTAATCATACGATTATTGCTTTAATTCCTAAGACATCACACTCCCCCACGGCTGCTGATTTTAGACCTATTGCTTGCACAAGTGTTATTTACAAGGTCATCACAAAGATTATTGCTAATAGAATGATTCCTTGTCTACCCGGTTTGGTTGACCATGCACAGGGGGCTTTTGTAAATGGTAGACTTATGATGGATAACATCTTTTTAGCGCAAGAACTGGTTAAGGGGTACACTAGGAAACATTGCTCACCTAGGTGTATGATTAAGGTGGACCTTAGGAAAGCCTATGATACCATCTCTTGGGATTTCCTTAGTAGTGTACTCCTTAACATTGGTTTTCCTTTGCAATTTGTTAAATGGATCATGGAGTGTGTTTCAACTGCTTCCTTCTCAATCTCCCTCAATGGGACACTACATGGTTTCTTCCGAGGTAAGAGGGGATTAA